ATTTTCTAGAACAAATTTCGAGTTAAACGAACCATTCCGCCGTATATGTCACGATTTCAATTCTGATTCTAGCATATTTGATCTAACAGATTCACTCTTTACCATTAAAGAAATTATTTTATCTACTCTTAACAAGTAACATTTACAAATTATAAACTTTAATTTTAATTCTTAATTTTGGCTGTTGAAATTTTTGTTTCTGTAGCTGAGCAGCTTAAGATCGCAACGCTTAATACTCTCTTGCCTTTTATGACTCGGCTAATTCCGCTGGTTCCCGGATTGCGCCCCTCGCGTCGGTTGGGCGGGAGGAGGATAATCGTTGGGTATTATATATTCTTAAACTGGAGAACCATACCCATTTTAATTCGAGAGATGCTATTCTAAATCGCAGCCAATTAGTTTTTTCCAGTATAGTTTAAAATAAGCAAAGGTTTTTATATACTTGACTTCTAATTAAAAATGACAAAAATCAACTCTTTTTTATTACAGAAAAATAGTGAATACAGTATTCTAACAGAGGGGTTACTCTGTAATAGTGATGAGCGATATTTCACCACCGGTGATTTTATCACTGTGGTTGAAAAATCGCTTATAGTCACTGCTATTGCTAGCCCAAAATATCAGTGATTGGTGATTTTTCTTCATGCCAATATTTCACTGTGAATGAAATTTACAATTGGCACTAGCTTATGAACAATAATTGCATGTGTTGATTTTCTTGGTGTTAGAAGTAGAAATTGTGAATACTTTTTCACTGTGAATATACATACAATGTATATTGCGTGTTTTATTTAATTCCGTTGAACGAATGCTTAAAATAAGTATTTTGAATTAGATTTTTTTTAATTTATGAAATATTATGAAAATGTTTTTTAAAATAAATAAAAAACGAAGTGAAATGTGGCAATTTTTCGATGCAATTAATGAAACTCATGCAAAATGCAAAATTTGTAAAAAAGATATATCCTATAAAACGTCGAATACGTATTTAAAAAAGCATATGCGAAATCGGCATCCAAGAGCGGAACTTCCAGGAGCAGCGGCCGTGCAAAAAATAGGAAGTAAACAAACGGAAAATCCAGATGCACAGCATGAAGTTACGGAAACAAATGTACAATACGGTAAATATAACATTTTTACTTCGGATTTCAGTTAAGAGTTTTAAATATACTTTCAGAGCCTGTTCTGCGCCAATCTACAATAACTGCTGGGATATGCAATATGAAGATTTCTGCAAAGGCAAAAAAGGAAATAGATGATTGCCAAATGCCAATGCTCTTCATTAAGGACTTACAACCTTTCAGCATTGTCGAGGACAGCGGATTTGTCCAATTCGTTAAAGCGCTAAATCCTTCATATGAACTACCCAGTCGGCATGTAGTATCAAGAACGATAATTCCGGCATTATATGAAGCATGTGTCGAAAAAGTGAAACTAAAAGTGGCGAATGTTGTTAAATTCTGCTTTACAACCGATTGTTGGACATCTCGCAATTCAGTGAGTTACATTGCATTACACTACATTTTGTTAGTGAAAATTTTGAATTTAACAATATTTTATTGGATTGCTGCCCAATGAGTGAGACACATACTGCCAAAAACTTAGCCGAGCAAATACAAAATGTCACAACTGAGTGGGGGGTATTTGATAACATAAAATTTGCAGTATCTGATAACGCGAATAATATAAAGAGTGCCTTACAAAATCAGCTCAAATTACGCCACTTCGGCTGATTTGCGCATACTTTAAATTTTATTGTTAAAGCAAGTATAAGTGGCAATGACATTAATACTGTTTTACAAAAAGTAAAACAAATTGTCGTTCATTTTAGAAAAAGTACATCCACAAATGAAAAATTTATAAGTTTTCAACGCAATGCTGGTACCGAACCTTTTAAACCAATTCAAAGCGTTGAAACTCGCTGGAATTCTACTTTTTACATGATTGAACGTTTTGTAAAGTGGAAGATGCTGTTAAAAGTACTGTCGCTCTCATAAATAAGGAATTACTCCGAATTAATCCTGAGGAATGGTTGTTGTTAAAGGATTTACTAACTGTTTTAAAACCTAATTTCGCCTTTCTGACCCCACAATAGCTGACATGTTTAAAAATCGTATCATTGCAGATGTAGGTAGAATAATTCAAGAAGCCCAAGCAAATGAACCACAAGTAGAGACCTCAGAGTTTTCAATTTGGAGCTATATAGACTCCAATATTGCGTCAAACAAGCCGCGCGGTACTTGTAATTCAAGAGCCATTATCGAGGTTCAGCGTTATTTGGAAGAGGTAGTAATTGCTCGAAATGCGGACCCCTTCAAATGGTGGCAGCACAACAAATATAAATCTCCATATCTGTCTCCCATAGCTCGGATAAAATTAGGATGCTTAGCGTCTTCGGTTCCCTGCGAACGGCTTTTTTCTCAAGCTGGACTTATTTTAAGTGAAAGAAGAATGCGATTGGACGATGAAGAGACAAAAATGTTGATTTTTTTAAATGCGAATCAGTAATAGTTAATAGTTTTTTAACTTGTGATTTTAAAATTGACATTTAATGTGTGTGTGAGCTAAGTTTTAAACTTACTTTTTACTTAATTACTTTGACTTAATTTAATAATAATAATTTAAATTACATTAATGTTATTTTCAATCTAAAACTGTTTATTTTTGAAAATCAATTAATTTTTATTCCATTTTAGATCTGAACATGTGCAATTTAAAATAAATACTATTTTTTTAATTTGAGAACTTATTTTCATGACTATTATTAATACCTCTCAATGAGGCAAAAGTGAATGAGATAGTATCTGGTTTAAATCAATTGGAATTCCCTCAATGTTATGTTGCAATCGATGGCTGCCATATAGAAATCAAGCCATATTGTTTATACGATTTAGCACGCGTCCGGGGAGAGCGAAACTTCGTGTTGATTTGCCAGCTGTGTGCACATTTTGATATAAATGTGGCTTTTTATGTATTCGACGCAACTGTGTGGCAGAGCTTACACTTTAATAATTTTTTGTATTGGGTTGTGTTTAGTATCGCGCCGGTTAATTTTGGCTCACCGTACCTAAACGAGAGAACCAAATTGAAAAAATTAAATTTAATTTAAATTATCGAACTTATAAACTAGTAAATCTTTAAATAAAACACACCTTTTTCTGCATTGAGTTCAATAATGCGATAAACCAAAATGACTGCCTAATTTGAACTGTCAAATTACCGACAAGGCACGAACAAAAGGGAATAGATTAAACTCACTTAGCAATAAATGTATGAAGTGAACACGAAAAGGTGTTCAATGCTAAAATAACTGTAGATGGCGTAGTCGGTGTTGGACCGGCCAGGGTTATTTTTTTAAAGCGCGGCCGAAGGCCGCCAATGCAGAAAGGAATGAAAAGCTAAAATACTGTGGAGGAAATCCCGGTGAAGCATTATTTTACAAATTTAAATATAAAACAAATTAAGGCCTTACATTTCTTAACGATTAAATTTTTTTTTCTTTATTTTGATTCCTTGTCCGTACAAAAATGTTGCCTGGGTTGCATTGGTTTCAGTTTGTATGGAAAAATGAGCAAAAACACTGATTTTTGGTCATTTTCAAAGGGCTCCCTACAGGTCTATAGGGGCTCTAGGGGGTCGAGGAGGGGTTTATTAAAAAATTCGATCCTTCCTCTTTCCAATAAGGGGTCGGGAGGGAGGGTAGCCTTTGCTTTCAAAGGAAATTTAGAACACCGGTGTACACATATAGTTTTTGTATCATACTACTCGTACAATATGTACCCCATGTCTTTCTAGTGCATAAGCCAATGTCAAACTTGTGCGTTTAACGAGTTTTTAATTCGTCACCAAACTGGCAAACACAACGGACAAACAATATTAATTCATAGCACATTCACTAAAATATTTTTCTTATTTTTCAAAATTTACGAAAAAAAATATGAATTGAGGAAAAGAAAATATGAATTAGCTATGGGAAAATCCGAGCAGAAAACGAATTTCCATATAAATGGTGTATGTGCGGATAGGGGAGCTTCTCCAGAAAAGGAATATGCAAAAATAGTGTAAAAATAACTTATATTTTTTAAAATATTGCCGCTGAAAAACTCAAAAATCTGCACTAAATTTTTTTAGATTTGTCACTTGGCATATTTAAATATACATCTAAATATTGAAATAAGTTAATAT